TAACACCTTGCTTTTCTCTAGTTAAATTTCATTTTGTTGGATAGGGGCAAGTAAACAGGCTTATCGAGACCCATCTGGATCTTGAGTCTATCTTTTGGGGTGTTGGCTATTCCTGCCAGCTCCATGTCATCTGCAAGTTTGATGAGTTCCCCTTTTATTTCATCATCTAAGTCATTTATGAAGATATTGAAGAGTATTGGGCCTAACACAAGACCATTGTAGTTCCATTAAGGACTACATATTGAATGTGTTTGTCAGCCAGTTACAAATCTATCTGCTGCTGATGCTGTCTATCTTACATTTTTCTAGCTTAACAAGAAATAAGTTGTGATCAACTTTGTCAAATCCAAGAATATTACTATCCCCAAGTGTACTATGTCCAAGTATACTATGTCCTCTGCATTTTGTTGGTCCAATTCAGTCACTTTGTCAAAGAATGAAATAAGATTTGTTTGATGTGATCTGTTTTTGACAAACCCATGTTGGCTACTGGTTATAACTTTGCTTGTTTGTAATTGTTTGCAGATTTGGTGCTTGGCTATTTTTTCCAGGATCTTCCCAAGTATTGATGTCAGGCTGATTAACCTCTAGTTTCCTGTCCCCTTTCTTGGAGATGGAAACCATATCAGCTCTTTTCCAGTCTTCTAATAATTCTCCAGTTCTCCAAGATCTTTGAAAAATACAGTTCCAATATCTCTTCTGCTATCTCCTTCAGTACTTTAGGATGTAATCCATCCTAGTGATTTGAATATCTGCCCATGAAAAAAGCCAGCTTCCAATAAAACATGAGCTCTGTAGACCAGATGCTAAGCTAAACAGGCATTATTGATGCAGGATTTTAATGAGGCCTCAAAACCATGGCCATGTACATAGACCTAACTGTGGCATATTATCCTCTGCAAAAATCTGTCTATTAATTAATAACATGCTGCATCCTTTCAAATAATAATGTTGTAATAATACTTACAACATAAGTAAGATTAAATAATAGCTTCTCACAATGGCTTGCCAAAAATTTCCCAATGGAATTTTTTTCCCATTCCAATTTCGCTACAGACCCACTTTTTAAATTTCTTTTTTTCAATTTTATGCTCTAGCTGGAGACATTTTGCTCCTAAAGAGATCCCTTTATTCTCTCTCTAAACACGTTTCTTCAGTTATAGAAAGCAGAATTCAGTTTACATCTCTAATATTTCAATTGTGCTTGAAATAACAAGCTCGATAACAAAATACAAAATTTGTTTCTTTTCATGCAGCCAAACATGATATTGCTAAACAACAAAGTGTATTCGTTGGAAACGGAGGCACAATTTGCCCCACCCTGCACTGCAGTCATAAGATACATTTTCCTCTCTGCTGACTCAGAGGCCGCTCTCTCCACTCAGCCAGAATCAATTTAGAAAGGCAGATGTGTTTATTTCTTGGTAGTCCTGGTGCTATTTTCATTTTGTTAGCTTATTTATTAGCTACCCACTGCAAATTAAATTAACTTACTTTTGAAAGCTTTCTGTGGGTTCTGAAAAAACAACCCAGTGCAGCTGGGGAAAGTGGGAAAGGAAAAGAGTCATTTTTTCATCTGCAGAACTGAAGAAAGAATGGTTTAAGATTACAACATCAAAACCAACAGCCAAAAACATGAGAATGAGGTTCCTGTTCCCATTTCTAGTTTAAAACATTAATTTTTCTAAATTTAGCTATTTAGTTTTCATGAGCTTAGTTATATGTTCTATCCTGTTTTTATTTGTTAAGCAAAAAAATGACATGAAATTATTGTGTACATTTTCTCCTAAACTTTGCACTTCTGCAAAGTGGGTTTGAGGTTTCAAGAAAGTATATATAATATTCTTAAAGGATACTCTAAATTTGTACTATAAATTTATATTTTATTTAAGGAAGTAGCACACTTAAAATATAAATGTAATAGTTTATTTCATTTTCTTATGGATTTTAATTTTAAAAAGGAATTGTACTTCCGTTCTTTTGAAGGTAAATAGTGGCATTTTGCTTGTGCTAAATTAAGAACACTACTAGAATACAAAACAGTAAGAGGGGACATTATCCAAACTAAAAGAATAAAGGTGTTCAGAGGTTCAACATGTTCATCAATTCAGGAAGACCCAGACGCACATTAAACATTGTCTAGACTAGGCAAAGGATGCAGTGGCTCAGTGGCTAAGATGCTGAGCTTGTTGATCAGAAAGGTTGGCAGTTTGATGGTTCGAATCCCTAGCAACGCCTAACAGAGTGAGCTCCAGTTACTTATCCCAGCTTCTGGCAATCTAGCAGTTTGAAAGCATGAAAAAATGCAAGTAGAAAAAAACTTTGGCTGGAAGGTAACAGCGTTCCCTGCGCCTTTGGCCTTTAGTGATGCCGGCCATATAACTATGGAGACTTGTCTTTGGACAGCACTGGCTCTTCAGCTTTGAAACGGAGATAAGCACTGCCCCCTAGAGTCAGGAACGACTAACACATACCGTATTTTCCAGCGTATAAGATAACTTTTTAACCCCAAAAAATTATTTCAAAAATCGGGGGTCGTCTTATATGCCGGGTATACCAAAAAACCAAAAGAAAAGAAAAAGCGACACCACCAAACAAAAAGCCGCGCTGCCACCAGTGCAGATGCCGGCCTTTCAATTGATAACCTCGGCGGTCCTCACCTGGGATGGATGAGCATTGGGATGGCTTAGTAAGGTCTGGCTGGCGGTCTGGAGGAGGAAGGCACTGAGCTCAAACTACGAAAGCTCGGCAGCATGGAAGCTCTTAGCTGGCTCGCAGGCGCCTGAAAATACGGGGTTATCTTATACGCCCAGCCGCCTTATACGGTGGAATATACGGTATGTGCAAGGAGACCTTTTACCTTTACCTTTAGACTAGGCAAATACAGGTAGTCTTCAACTTTGAGCCCAAAATTTCTATTGTTAAGTAAGACATTTGTTAAGTGAGTTTTGCTCCATTTCACAACCTTTCTTGCTGCAGTTAAGTGAATTATTGCAGTGTTAAAATAGTAACATGATTATTAAGTGAATCTGGATTCCCTATTGACTTTGCTTGTCAGAGGTTTGCAAAAAGTGATCACATTACCCAAGGACACTTCCACCGTCATAAATATGAGTTAGTTGCCAAGCATCTGAATTTTGATCACATGATCATGGGTATGTTGTAATGGTTGTGTGGAAATGGTCATGTTGCTTTTTCAGTGATACTATAAAGTTGAATGGTCACTAAATGAACTGTTGTAAGTCAAGGACTACTTGTAAACCATTTTGATTCCTGAGTTACTATCCTCAGTTGAAAAGTACTACAACTGAAAAGGTGAACATGAAAACCAGCAGGCCAGCAGAAGATGCATGTGTGGTGGAGCTGACCTTGGGTGATGGCTCATGTGCCTGCAGAAGAGAGGACTCTGCATTCCACCTGTGGCACACATGCCATAGGTTCTCCATCACGGGGTTATGGGAATGAGTAATGAAAGAAACTGAAGGAAAATTATCAGGCAATATGGACTGGATTTCTCTGCTGAACTCATACGTATTTCCCTTCCCTTCAAAAAATGAATTACAGGTATCGCCCATTTAGTACTTTATCAGAAAAAAACTATATTTTCCACTAATGTAGGCTTTAAGATGGCATTGATACATACAGCCCCCTCTTATGCCTATCAAATTTCAGTAACTATAATTCTTACAAAAATCTTCTGTATGGCCAAATAATATTAGATGTTGTTGAACTGAAATCACATTGTTTGGCCATGAATCATTAAGGACCATAATCTTTATTTCTGAGAGATTGTGAAAGCATCACAATTAATGGGGTCAATGCATTTGTTTAGTTTTTGTGGAGGCATTGTTGTATTGTTTATTGTTCTAGAAGTTTTGGTCTCTATAGGTAACCAGGTTTTGGTCTTTGGTCAAGAAGGCTGTCTGTTTATGTCAGTTTTAACTGTTTTAATTGTTGGAGAGAATGTGTTAATGTCTTCTGGAATGGCAAGCATATCAAATCAAATTTATTAAATGTGTTATTACAAAATTTCTTATGAAAAAGCCAGCTGCAATGTATTGCCATTTTAACAATATTTAAAAGCCCTGTCAGAAATTAAATGTGATAATCAGACAAAGCCCAAAATTAGCAGTCAGGACTAGTAATCATTTTCAGGGAATTAAATGTCTTTTGCGTTGTATGTTTAATCCAAGATAACATTAATTAACAAAATATGTTAAATTTAGAGCAGCTTCTATAAACATTACATTGTTTCCAGAATCTGAGAGTTCTGTAAAGTTTCTTCTTTCATGATTTTAGAGGGTCCTTAAAATACAATTTTATTTCAATGGACCTTCAACCCTAATTAAAATTTTTGTAATTCATCTTGATGGAGGTAGGGGTTAATTTATTATTACTATTGAGTTTCATAATTTTGTTTTTTTTCTATTATTACTTTTATAGATTAATGTGTTAATTTTATTCACAGTGTAACTTGCTCAGAATTTTTAAAGTTTTCTGAGTAAGATGGGCTATAAAACTGCAAATAAATACATAGGTCATAAAATATAAAAAAAATAAAATAGGCTACCATTTGTTGAAACAACATAATCAGAGATAAGAATGTTTTGCTTCATCATCCAGAACAGCTGCTTCTTCTACAAACAATACAAAAGCAAGCTTCTGAACTGAAAGATATTCTTACTACTCACTATTTCTCTTTCAGCATTAATCAAATATTTCCACAACAATAATTAATACAAAACTAATCATGTGTCTCTGAGAAAAATGGGGATTGGTTGGTTGGTAGGGTTCTGCAAATGAGCTTTTAACTACTACTCATTCTTGAATTTCAAATGCTACCATGTTTTTAAATGTAACTACGGTATGGTCTATGTTCTTTGCTAGAAATTCCTTCCATAAATTTGAATGCATAATCTTTAACAATGTAAAGTACATATGAAGATATGGGGCAAAACAAACAAATTTATGAACAATTTAAAATATAATCATTTACCTACCTGATTTTCCCATAGTTATGCTCTTGATTTTAAAAGCTGCTTCTCCTTTAAATGCTCCGTTGTGCTAGAAACTGGCTGCAATTTCCTGGTAGTGGATTCAAAGAATCTGCTTCTCCTTTAAATGCTCCCTTTTGCTAGAAACTGGCTGTAATTTCCTGGTAATGTTCCAAGCTCCTTGACTGCATGAAACAACCATGCATAATAAAATGCAACCGCCCATTCACAGTGCTCAATAGTCTAATGACGCCATATAAGGAGTAAAGTTTTTTTTTCTTCTTCTAAACTTGAAGCTCCCTTGTAATCAAAGATTCTTCATCCTGCAAGTAACATAGCAACACAAGAAAATACAGAATGATTTCCTGTATTAGTGAAAGCAAGAGGAAATCAAGAGAAAAAATATTTAAGCAAAATATGCTAAGGGAATTCAGTGATGCACATTTTAGCAAGAACGGGATTCTGCAAATTAGTTCAGTCTCTTCCATGCTATAATCCTGAAATGTTAGTGTGTGCCTGACTACTGATCTAGGAAGTTGTTGCATGTTGAATTTTTAACAATATAAACTTTTACTATATGCATTTCTGTAATTCCAAGATGTAATAGAGCAAAACATAAGCAAAGTACTCAAAGGGTTTTGTCATGCTTATATAGGTAATCATTGTTGCTGCCTGATAATGTAACCAAGTAAATAGATTTAAGGCTACTCCTCGCATTTTACCAAACAGAGCACCTTATTTGCTGTGTCTCTTGCAATTCTATCCAAAATAAATGTAGAGAGCTTGCTTAGCCATGACAGCAGCTCAAATTATCTGAACACAATTTTCTGCTAATTCAAGGAAAGTATTAAAAACAATAAAATAGCTATGAGGAAGTAACCAAAGGCAGGTCTAAGAACACAAATAGCTTGTTTAAAACTCAACCTAACTGCAACTATGCCCAATTTATTCTGTGGCCGCTCGTGGCCACTCACAGACAAGATGCTGCATGGCTCGTGCTGATGATGCCCCTTATGGCAGGATGCTGTGAGGCTCGGTACACTGGTGGTGCCGCTCATAGCTGGACACTGCGAGGCTCAGTGCGCCAGTGCCACTGCTTGCGACAGGAGATTGCATGGTGCATTGTGCCATTGTGTTCATGAGTCATGACAACAGCGTGATAAGCCTCGTGGTATTCTCTCACAAGTGGCAGCACCTGCATGATGAACCTTGCAGCATTCTGCCACAAATGGCCACCAGTGGCTGCAGAAGTTGAGCAGCAGTTTGATACATGTCCGGGTGTGGGAGGCCTGGATGCAGTGGGCCTAAGCTGGGGTGGGTCACTTGGGGCAGCTCGTTGATTTTTATGCCTGCACCTCACCCCACCTCATATAACCAGATGGCAGGTGGGGCTTAACTAAGGTTTATTTTGAGGGCAGGACTTATATTAAGTGGTGTGAAAATCTGGCTAGGGCTTGTTTTTGGGGTAGATAGTAATTTTCAGAGAAACACGGGTAGGTGCAAATGACCAGAGGGGAAAAGAGAACGGAAAAGTGCAGAAGTAAAAAGAAGATGGATACAATAAAGTTAAGTAAACTTTAAAAATCAAAGGAAAGAAAAAAAGATAGAGAGTAATTGCCAAATATGTCTTCCTAGACTTGTGCCTAAACCTTTGCAATGAAACGCACTGAGACAGCAACATCATTTAATTATGATTTATTTAGAATATTCTGATTAAAAATAATTCCTCTCATTCAAAGTGGGAACCCAGATCATCGGCTTTCAGTCCTTCTTACAGTTGACACATCAATAAAAATGCAAGGGAAAACTTCTCCTCTTCATAGTAAATCAGCTACATGGAGTTAAATAGGAGTTAAACATACTAAATCTGACAGCACATATATCCATTTAAACAAGTCTTATTAAAGCAGATCTTGACATTACATTTAAAATGTTAATAAAGAAAAAAAAAGTCATAAGGTTGTTTGAAGTTTATGGAGAGACAAACTAAATACTAATTCATGCTAATAACTTTTCTCTTATCAGAAGACAAACATCAGACAGCCCATCCTATCCTGACCTGGGGAACAAAGATAGAAGATTACCTTGAAGTTTAGGAATGCTAGAAGTTATCAAACAGATTATTAACATCATTGACAAAGAGAGAACAATAAGTCAAATTAAAATACACCTAAGTTAATCAACAAGTACAATATTACAAAGTCTATGTTGTTGGTACTACAAAGTCCATTCTGTGTGGTCTTCATTTCCTCCCTTTAAGGTTAAAGGGTGAAACAAAATTAACTCTTTCAGCATCATCAAAAAAGAAAATATTGGCAAACAAAAACTTAAGGAATTTGGATCAACAGTAGCAGAGACTGAATGCACATTAGTTTTACTTTAGAAAAGAAGTATTAGATTTCTTGTGGAAAGCAGCTTTCGAAAGTTGCCGTATACATGCAGGCACTAGGAGTAATAACAAATAAATCAAAACCACTAATATATCAAAATAAAACACCAAAATTATTTCAAACATGTCAGGTTGGTAACCACAAAGGAATACAATTTTTAAAATGAAGGGAAAAAATATCAACATATACAATATAAAAAACAGCATGTGTTAAAATCCACCCAAAACAAAAAACAAAACAACCCCCCCCCCAAAAAAAACTTTGACTCTGGTAATAGGCGGATCTAGACTTCATTTTGTAGTCTCCTAATGGCACTGGCTATAATATCGGCATAGATTTCAAATGATGCAGAAATATTGAGAAGGACAAGTGCTAATTCAGCAACCCTAAACTAGGCAAATACTAACACAACACAGAATGGAAGAGGTATTTCCATTTAATCAGAGGATTTGAATATGTTGATTAATGCAATAACAGAAGTTGTGATGCCATCTTAAAAGCTGAGAATATGCATATGTATACATGCATATTACTGGAAATAAAACTCCCAGAGTACACATACCATACCATGTATAAAGTAACACTTTATAAACAGCAGGCCCACACCATCTAAAAGTAACTATCCTTCAGAGTTTGTCTGCCTTGTAGCATAGCAGAGACTTTAAAAATCAACACAATTGCTTGTGACATGGGGAAACTTGTGATACAAACAATAAGTGTCAACCATATCAAGGAAAAAAAGAGTAAACATCCAGACATTTAGATCTTCACGAGTCATTCTAGTGGCTGAACAAAAGATGCATCAATAAAGACAGGGTCATGAAATATTAAGGAACTTCCAACAAAGGGATGCATTCCATAAGTTCCTCAATAGATGCATCAATAAAGGCAGGGTATGAAATATTAAGGAACTTCCAACAAAGGGATGCATTCCATAAGTTCCTCAATAGATGCATCAATAAAGGCAGGGTATGAAATATTAAGGAACTTCCAACAAAGGGATGCATTATATAAGTTCCTCAATAGGCTGAACAAAAGATGCATCAATAAAGGCAGCGTCATGAAATATTAAGGAACTTCCAACAAAGGGATGCATTATATAAGTTCCTCAATAGGTGATCATGATGTAACATCGACTATTTTATTTATCATGTTCTATGTGATGTACTCCCTCTGTTCTATGGAGCAGGGAATTCTTTTAGAAAGAAAATGTAAATGTAAATAAAGCCAATTATCCCCCTAGGTTACAACCCTCAAAACCTGTTCTGCCCAGTCTTCTGCAAGTATTCACTGGAGGTTGAATACAGTATATGGCAGTGCAGTGATGGTAACTTGTAGTTGAAATGTTGATTGGTCTTTTCAGCATCTATAGTGATCCGCAAGAAAGGCATAACAATAAAAACAGGCATTGCAGTTGGTGAAGGCTACCCAAGTCCATTTCCATGTAGTCTTCAGTATTATGGATGACTATTCCCCAAGTGGCTGTAGTTTCTCCTGACAGGTTCCTATTCAAGTCTACTGAATCAAAAGAATGCCAATATCCATCATTGTGGGGCTAACCATATATCTATTGTTATTGATTACCCATTCAAGCATCTTTGGGCATTTTCCAGGTTTGTTGCTATAATACTTAGTTGTGTCTGTCACCAGGAAAGCAGGTATTTTTTTCCACACATGGCGTATGAATGGAGCCTTCTCTCATAGGCATTTCCATTGCATAGATTAGATGATAGGTCCCTAAAAAAAAATTACAGAAAGTGAAGAATGTATGTGCCACAGTTCCACCAGAACCCAAACTGCACACTTTCTTTTTGCCATAATTCCACATATTTTTCATTGTTAGTAAAATATCTCAATTCCAAAGTGCAAACACATTCTATAAAAAACAAGTGAATTTACAAAGCAAGGTATGAAAGAGATTCAAAATTTAGTTGAACTCAATTAGCTATTGTTGGCTCTCAAATCTTGTTAGGCTTAATTATATAATCAAGCAATGTAAGATAAAGCTGTTAGACAGATTTTTCCCCCTTTTCTTCTCTAGATAAGATAAATCAAGGGAGATTAGTATAAGAATATAAAGCAGGCCCCCACATTGTGATAGGACTATTTGCACCCACCTATAACCTAAGGCAAGACTTGGACACTACTGTAAAAGTATTTAATAATTTCCATTCTTCTAATAATTCACAGAAAAAGATCTTGCAAAGCTGGAAAACTAGATTGTTTCCAAAGGAGAAGTTGGATTTTTTTCCCTGTGTCAAATAGACTATACTTGTCCATGGATGCTCTATCAAATATTGCAAATTTTACTTTTCCTCCCCTCTTCCATCCTATTTATTAGATGCCATTTTAAGGGACAAAGATAGCACCCAGTAAACTTGTTATCACAACCCATTTAAGATTTTAATGGTAAAAAATGTAGATTTCACTGACCAACATGATGCCAACAATTCTGGAATGCTTCTGTGTCAGGCAGATGATGTTCAAATCCCTCTTGGGGCAGCACTGCAAGGAAGCAATAGGATAGTTGAGAAGACAAAAGAATGCTTCCCCCTCCCCCAGCTCCACCAAGTGTTGCAGGATAAAACAAAATTAATACAAAGCTCTTGCTCTCAGGGAACTAAAGCAGCCCTCAAAGCATAAAACAGTAGGAAAATGTTATGGACATTTTCCTACTGTTTGTATAGACTAGTGATGGCTAACTTTTTTGGTGCCGCTTGCCCAAACCATGTG